TTTTATCATTTATAATTTTTTATTATAATAATAATAATAATAATGAGTATAATCGATGATAATTTTTTTAAAAATTCATTTCGGTTATATATAATTAAAAAAATGTGATTTTTTTTTTTTTTCAAATCTCTTATAATTTTTTACAAGGACAGTTTTTACAATACAAAAAAAACAGTAATTTCACCTCCTCCCCCCCCCTTCCCCACCCCCCAATTTATAATTGAAATTGCTTTGTTTTTAATTTTCAAATTAATGTTTTACCTTGTCTGTAAACAAAAATATAGGTTTGTTTACGAAATTAATAATAATAATAATAGATTTATTATTAATTTTCATTGAATTTTTTTTTTTTTTTTTTTAAAAACAAAGCAAATAAAAATTTTTATAAAAATAAATTTCTGTTCAAAAGTAGAAAAAAAAATTTGTAATTGTTATGTACATAAAAAAAATTTAATAAAAAAATTAATGGATTTATCGTAATATTAAAATTGATATTTAAATCGAATAATAAGAATTTTTAGTTTTTGAAAGTTAGTTTTTGCAACATACTTGCTAATAAATAATTTAAAAATGCTAATTTAATATTAATTAGCATTTTGATAATTTTTTTCAATAAATTTTATCATTTAATTAGTCGTTTAAAATCCTCTATAAAACTGAGGATGTAATAATATCCTTACAATTTATGTAATAGGTACTAACTTATAAATAAATACATATTATATTCCTTTTTTTAATAAAATTAATTTCTTACACATTTTGTTCAGTCTTTAATCTTTTAGATGTAAGCGATTCACTTTCTTGTGAACTGGAATCTTCTGAAAATGGCATTTGAGTTGAAAATTCTGTGGCACCTTGAGAATCACTCATTAATGAAAAACACGTATTGGAATCATCCATGCCGTAATTCGATGTGGATGAATCAATATTTTTTCTAGCCGGCGTATTTTCTTTATTCATTTCTTTTAAACTTGTTTTTTTTTTATGTTCAATACTGGAAACGGGTACCCATTTAAATATTTTCATTGTTGTCTCTCCGACAGTAACCCATTTTTTTTCCCATCTTCGAACTTTATCGACAACTTGCATAACACGCTTGATGTCATCCTTGGCTCGACTTCTCGTCTCCGCTCTTATTGAACGATTCATTATTTTTGACGTTTGTTAAATTTTTACAAATTGTATATTGAAAATGTCAAAATTAATTTGTAGGTTGTTTACTATAAACTTAACCTATAGCTTTTTTTTTTAAAATTTCCTTACGATATCAAAGTTGCCAACCTTAAGACTCTAAGAATACCAACTTTAAAAATATTCATAATACAAACATAGTTTTGAGAATTGAATAAGTACTTTAGTAATAAAATTTTAACTATATTTTGTAAGTATATTTTATTGCATAATTTTTTTTAAATTGTAATAAATTATTAAAAAGAACTCATAATAATTATAGGTTATTTTGATACGTACACCAGTTTTTTTTGTAAAATGGCTGATGTAAGGGATATATTAGATTTGGAAAGATCAGGAACTCCTGAATTAACTAAAGAATCTATATTAGGAAACACAGATAAAAATAAAAAAAGATCTTTGGTTAATAATAAGCAAATAAAGAGACCCGAAGGAATGCATCGAGAAGTTTTTGCTCTTTTATATAATGATAATAAAGATGCACCTCCGCTATTTCCCACTGACACCGGTCAGGGATATAAACAAATGAAAGCCAAATTAGGTATGAAGAAAGTCAGACCCTGGGAAGTGGATGCCATTTACAAATCCAGCTAGAACAGATGGTGCTGTATTTCATCACTGGAGGAGACTTGCAGATGAAGGGAAAGAATATCCATTCGCTAGGTTTAATAAAAAGGTCGATGTTCCAGCATTTCAAGAAAATGAATACATTCCAGCGGAAGGCTGGAGTAGGCAGGAAACAGATCACCTCTTTGATTTGTGTCGTAGATTTGATTTACGATTTAATGTTATATGTGATAGGTGGGACAGAAATTTATTTCCGAATAGATCTATTGAAGATTTAAAAGAAAGATATTATGGATTTTGTTCTGCCTTAAGCAAATTAAAAGGTGGAAATGATCCTGCTAAAACATATGTTTTTGATGCTGATCATGAAAGAAGACGAAAAGAACAATTAAAAAGGCTCTTTGAAAGAACTCCCGAACAGGTAATCAAAACAATTTTGTCAGGTATCACAAATTATAATTATTTTTAACCTGTATATTTTTTTTTTTCCTTTTCAGATTGAAGAAGAGCAAATGTTATTGAATGAGTTAAGAAAAATAGATGCTCGAAAAAGAGAAAGAGAAAAGAAAACTCAAGATTTACAAAAGCTGATTACAGCAGCAGATAATCAAGCCGAGGCAAGATCAGGTGAAAAAAAAGTACAGAAGAAAAAAGTCCAACAAGCCAGACCAGCCAAAGTTGATACAACTGTAATTTATTATAATTATATACCAGGTTATTTACTATAGTTATTTAAAAATAAAATTTAATATTTATAATTTAAATTTTAGTCACTGGAATCAGCTGGCATAAAATTTCCCGATTTCAAAGGTCATGGTACAAGCTTGAGATCTCAGAGAATGAAACTCCCAGTGTCTGTCGGTCAAAAGAAATCGAAAGCAATTGAAAGTTTGCTTCATGAATTAGGCTTAGGTAAATCGAGTTAATGATTTTTTTTTGGGGGGGGGGGGTTGAGTGATTTTTAATGAAATAAAACATCTTTTTCTTTCTATTCAAATTTTTAAATTTTTCAGATCTTAATCCGATTCCAACGGAAGAGATTTGTCAGCACTTTAATGAATTAAGAAGCGACATGGTATTGTTGTACGAATTAAAAGCTGCCTTAGCTAACTGCGAGTTTGAACTTCAATCGTTGAGACATCAATATGAAGCTCTAAATCCAGGAAAGGTATGTTATAGTAAATTGTCAAATGTTAAAACTGATATCAAAATAGTATTGAAATCTTATTATCACAATTCTCTTGTTAATATTTTAGAAAATTTTTTTTACCTTAACTATTTAACTTTTTATTTTTTTGTTTTCCTTTTTTTAAAAAAACAGGCAAACAAATTTTATTTTTTTATAATTTTGTAGTCGTTTCAAAAAAATTACTTATTAAAAAAAGTTTTATTTATTTCAAACAACTGTAGCAATTAACAACCATTTTTGCACACTTTATTTAACTATTATTATGTTTTAAATTTTACTTCAGACAGGAGCATAGGCATGATACACCTTGTATATCTCTTGTGCCATAGTAGTAGTCGTAAAAAAAATATAAAAATATTTAAAAAAAAAAAAAAAAAGAGAGAAAAAGAGGTAAGAAATGATAGATAATTCTTAGTGCACTTGAAAAAATAAATTTTTATTAAATTTGAATTTTTTTTTTTTTTTTCATATATATTTTCATAATTAAATATTAAACATTTAATTTGTTTCGTTTAGGCTTCATTTAAAACTTAATAATTTCTTACTCACTGCATTTTTTTTTTTTTTGTTTTAATAACTTTCATTGAATTTATTATTAATATTATTTATTTTCAGTTTTTATCGATAAGCTAAAGGAAAAAAAGAAAAGAAAAAAAAATTAAATTATTATTCTCTTTTGTTAGCTAGATGTTTATTTGTTTGTAGGCATGAGAAAAAACAAGCCCAAGTTAAAAAATAAATAAAAATGCCCATGATGATTTACCTGGTTTAACATCCAAAAAATTCATGTTTTACTTCCTGGGGACCATGATACCTTATAAAAAACCTATTAAGGTAACTTTGGACTCGTTCAACGTTGGGTAGAGCTTACTGTTTTCAAGTTTAAATGCCAAAAAACTTTTTACTTTTGTCGAATACAATTACATGCTCAAATTAATATTTTTACCTTGTTTAAAATTAACCAAAAAAAAAAAAATCAAATCCAAACTACTATAATAATAAAAAAAAAAAAAATGATTTGAAAGTTTTGGGATACCATATTTTTAACATTTATTTAATCGAGCATGTAAATGTTGTTGTTGTTGTTGTTGTTGAAATTACAAAATGAAATTAACATTGAAGAATTTGAGTTTATTTTTTTTAATAAATAAAATTAATAATTGCATTTGTTTTCAATAAGAGTAAATCAAGTTTGTATTCTACCATTTTTATGAATGTTGTAAAAAAAAAAAAAAAAATTGTTTTTTTGCAGACTCTTGCAATTCCAAGTTCAATAACACAACCAAGTACAGAAGATGCAACCAAACATAAACTTGCTAGTTCAGAAATAATTGATGTTGTCGGATCTCCTGGAACTCCAAGTATTAACTGATACTCGAATAAATATTTTGACTCAATTAAAACTTCCAAAAAATAAATAAATAAATATATATTTATCAAACAAAGTCAAGGTTTCCATAGTAATTAATTAAAAATATATTTGACAGGTGAATCTTTGTGAGATGTAGAGAAAAAAAAAAAATTAATTTGCATGTACAGTTTTATTTAAAAAAATTTTTTTTTTTTTTTTTTTCACAATATATAATACATTATTGATAGTAAAATCTTACAAAATCAACTTTGACATCGACTGAGTCTTTTTTGTGAAATTTATATGTAGCTGGCAAATCGAAATTTAATTCTGCAAGAACATCCACTTTAACACCCAATGATTGGGCTTTTGTTATTATATAATTTCGTGTGGAAGTCTTATGTAAAGAATACACAGCATTATCAGTCAGTTGTAAAGCTAATTTAAGAAATTCAATGTCCAAACCTTTTGTTTTCGTTCCAAAAGGAGGATTCATTATAACAGTATCAAATTTTTTGTCATTTAATGAAATAACATTTTTAGTCACATCACACATAATTAAATCAATGTTTTCAATGCTAAACTCTTGGATATTTTCTTGGCATATTTTTAATGCATCAGAATCAACATCGACACCAACACAAAATTCACAATTTAAAAGACATGAACCAATTGATAAACTACCACATCCACATCCAAGATCTGCTATGATTTTTCCTTCAATGTCATCATAACAAGACTGAATAGAGTGTAACATTCTTGCACATATATGGGGCATAGTAGCATATTGTTCTAGCTTTACTTTAGGCCTGGTGAAAGTTTTAATTTCTTGAATGTGCTGTTCTAGTGCTTTTAATTTCATACAAGCCATCTTTACATCATACTTATTTAGTATTTTCATTAACCCTAGGAAAAACGGCTAAAATGTTGTTACCAAATGACGATTCTTGTGGAATGAAATATCCAAAAGATGTACTGTTTGCATGTTGTAAAAGACTATTAGCATGGGCAGCTCTGGCAAGGTTAGATTGATTTTCTGAAGTCTGATTGGAATTAATACTAGATACTCCAATAGGACTGCTAAGAGCACTGGGATTTAACGTTTGAGCTGTTCCAGATTTCAAAAGTTGTTTCCTTAAATTTAATTCTTCTAGGATTTTTTTTTGTTGGCTTTGAAGATCTGAAAGTACAAAAAAATAAAATTACCATTTGAATTTAGCGAAATAAAAACAATCTCTAAATAAATCATTTAGTTCAATTTATTACTTTTTCTTAAGCTAAATTTACTTTTTAACTTTAATTCAACTCAATAAACACTACATGAAGCAAGTACGCTTAATTACAGGTCAACCAAGTTAGGTTATCTAATGTTCAAAAGAAATAAAACCCCTTGAACATTAATTAAAATTTTTTTTTTAGATTTGATTTAATATTAAATTGATTAATAAATTATTACCAGGTCTGTTTGGCGGCTGAAAAGCCATTTATAATCTAAATAAATTTTTAATTTTTAATAAATACTCTTCAGTTCAGGTTGTCACGCGTGGTTTACATGGATTAGCCATTAATTTAACGTTAAATTTAAACGACATTAAACATTTTTAAAAAATTTTTGCTTAAAAACTATTTTTTTTTTTTTTTTAATTTTATTAATTACGATTTGAATAAAACAATGTGTTTTATTAGGATAGATTTTAATTGTTTAATAATAAATTGATTTAAATGTTAAATTTAAAAAAACAACAACAACAACTGATCTTATCATGGCAGTTACTCTTAAATTAGATTTAAAATATAAATTTAGTTTTTAATTTATTATTTATTTTTTAAAAATTATATAAATTAAATTATATTTCAATTCTATTTCATAAAATATTGTCTTAACAATATTTTTTTTAAAAATAAAAATCAATTTAAACAAAAACAAATTGTGTAAGTGACATGTTTTGTTTATAAAAATCACTCATTATAGTTATTTAAATGAAAAAAAAAAAAAAAAAAAAAAAAAAAAATTTTGTATTGTTAACCAGTTCTGTATATTTTTTTATCTATCTATTTAAAAATTATGTTTTATTATTTATTTATTTTATTTTTTTGTGTATGAATAATAATTTTAAAAAACCAAACAATCAATTTAAAAAATCAGTTAATAATGGCTTCAGTTAAAACATAAATAAATAAATAAAACAAAGAACATTGAAAAAAAAGGAAATTAAATTTATTTATTTATTTTTTAGTTACATTTCTAATTAATTTAATTAACACATAAAATGTTTGTATTATTTATAAAAAATTTTAATATTTTGTCATTGAATCATTTTTTCTTTTTTTTCAATCAAACTTAAAATTTATTTTATTGCATGAAAAAAAAAAAAAAATATATATTTTTGCTGAAAGAAAGAAAAAAAAAAAATTTACCCAAAACCCTAATAATAAAAAAGGGTCCTAATAATCTAAAAAAAATTATTAGAATGAATTGTTTATTTGTAATAAATATAAATAAATATTTTCATTCTTTTATTTAAAAGCAAATTATTGTCTTCGACATTTTTTTTTTTTTTTTACGGTTCAAAATAAAATTATAAATATTTACTCAATGGAAAATAAAACAGTTAAAATTTTTTTTTTGTTTGTCAGTTATATTATTATATATTTCTATTTACGTTAAAAAAAAAAAAAAAGATTCTTTTGTTTTCGATAAGCATTTTTTTTTTTTTTTTTTAAACAAATTTAAAAATAAAAATTATTGGATAAAATATAATTTATGAACTAAAAATGTCATAAAAAAAAATTTTGATTGTTTGGAATAAATTTTATTTTTTTCTACATTTTTGAATTTAACGGTTTTTTATTCTATTTGTAAATGTGCGTCATTTTTACCCGACGTTTAAGTGCAAAAAAAAAATTTTTTCCAACTGACGTATGAATTGGATTTAAGTATTAACGATCGTTTAAAATTGTAAAATTATAAAAAATAAGTTAACTAAATCGGTAATTTATTTTTATAAATTTTTAGTTAATAATTTATTTTATTCATTTAAATGCGAAAAAAAAACTTTTATATTATCATTTTAGTAATTTTATTGTCAATTATTTTTTTTACTCGACGATTACAAAGTATCCATTTTAATTTTATTATTATATTACCGTGTAGTTGTAAATTTTCATAGAAAATAATTTGTATAATTTTTTTAAATGTTTAGCAATCTAATTCAAAACCTTTTTTTTTTTTTTTTCTTTCAGGAATCATATAATACGAGGAAGATTTTAATTCAAATTTATTTTGTACGTTTCAATTCATAGTAAGGTATACGTTAGGTCTTCTTACGTTTCAAAATGTCTAACATCCAATGAAAAAGAATAACAAATGAAATATTTCCAGATAAAAGATTATATGTGTTGCTTATGAGTGAGCTGTGGCAATTTTGGTTCCAAACCTGTCATTATAAGACAACAGTAAATGCCTTTTTAAAGACATGGCACACAATCGTAACGGTTATTTAGTTGCTGATGTTTGTGGGGACAAGTATTCCGGTACCATATTTAAGGCACGCTTCATGTCACAAGGGTAAGTTTTTTTTCTGTTTTCCTTTTTTTTTTTATTTTAAAGAAGAAACTGGTAATTTTTTTTCTTCAACTCAGAACTTCATCTGTAATATTTTAAAAGTGAAGCAAATATTTGGCCCATTAATCTAAATTATATTTGATTTATGAGTTAAATTTTTGCTACATTTTTAAAATAAATGTCTTCTATTCAATATGATAAAGTAAGTTTATTATTTCATGTGGGGTTGCAGTTTTGTTGGTTTATTATTTATTAAATAAAATATGCTTTCAAAAGTGCAGGTTCCATTGAAATATATATTGTCTGCTTAATACATTTATTATTTTCAATTGGTAATCAAATGTGGCAGTACTTGGTTAATTAATTTGCCTATAAATTAAAATAGTAATAGTGGTGATAACATCCGTCCTTGAATATGATATTTAAGGTTATTTAAAAAAAATTGTATTTGAAAATCAAAGTATTGTTTTTTTTTTTAAATTCTATAAGTTTTAGGTGTAAATTTAAGGTAGAGAAAGGAGTTCCTGGAAGCCAAATTCAAATTTCTTAAATCAAATAAATATGATTGCCATGTTTGTATTTGAAATCATGCATTCATTTTTATTTGATGTAAGGGATTTGTATTATAAACTTATGATTATAAAAACAAATTTTTTTTTATTTTTGTTTAAAAAAATCTAAAAGTCTCTTTCCAAAAATGTGTTTGGGCTGTGAATAAGTTGTTGGGTACGTGTAAATTTACAAGCTTATTATTTATTTTTGATTAAATATTATGCTTTTAAATTTACAAGTTCCTAAACATGATGATCGTCATTAGGTGTAGTAAAATTTATAAAAAGGGTAATCAATGAAAACAAATTTAAAAATTGGACAATAGTATGTAAACCCAGTAATAAGTTTATCGTTGTAATCTGTTAACTTATAGTTACCTGATTGTTGTTATTATTATGTTTGCCTTGAATTTCTTCATAAATTTGCTGCTTTTGAAACTAATTTAACTATCATTTCAATACTAATTTTCTATTTATTTCATTAACAATCTTGATGAGTACTGTTTTCTTGTTTAAGTTGGGTTTTTCTTTGAGTTTTCTTTTAAATTTGTCAAATTTTAACAAGTGTTTAGGCATCCTTTAGAAATTATTTACACGATTTCAAACAATTAAAAGTTTTATTTAAAAAATATATATAATTCATAAATTTTTAACAATAAACAACGATTATAAATTGTTTACATTTATCTGGATAGAGCCAAGTTATTAAACTTTGTTTATAAAATCATTCTTTTATTTAAATCCAACAGATCAGCAATAAATTTGTTTTTTGTTTTCCCTGAGAGCTTATCATTTCAATTTGTTAAAGCAAAACATAAGTTTATATATATAATTTAATGATTGTTTTTTTTTTCACACACAATTCATTCTTTAAATTTCTCTCATTCATGTATTTTGATAAATTTATCTTTAACTTTTCATACCGTTATCTAGGTAAAAATGCTGATTATAATAGAAATGTGATATTTTCGGTTTCTAACATATTACAATTTATTATTAAATCTCATTTGTTAGCAATTTTCATGTAATTTAATACAAATAATTAAATATCTAGGCTAGGAAATTATATGTATTTTGATATCGTGAGGTCATGTGAAAAATCTACCCCATTAAACGAAGATTAAAACTTTAGCTCACTCGATTTTCATTTTCTTTTATTTTGGATGTTTAATTCGACTTTTTTTTTTAGGTTCGTGTGAAAATTTGAATGATTTCCATTTTAATCGTTTAAAATCCACAGGGGTTTTCCTTTGGCACTAGTATTCACGTCAGAATGTTGTTCTTCGTTTTCTTTCGATACGTTTTCTTGGCTTGATTTGCTGTCTTTCGGTTCGTCGTTTTTCCCTTTCACCCCGAGAACTGATATAAGGGGTAAAAAGTTTTCTATGTCTGATGTGTATTCGTAATCGAGAAGATCCTGAAAACAAATTTATTAAAATCGTTAAACGATTTTTAAAAATATTTTATTTACATGTACAATTAATTTGATTTTACCTCTGTTTCTCCTGAAGGGTTGTTGCCTTGTCCTTCCTTGATTCCAGACGCCGATGGGGGTGATTCTTGAGAATTCGTGGGAGGAGAAATTGAAATAGCTGGAGCAACACGTTTAAGTTCTTCTTTACTTTGCGAGGTACCTTTTAAATTTTGGTAGATGGTCTTTGAAAGTAATTTTTCTTCGGCACCTTCCATCAAACCATTATTCTCGGTAACTTCTTCAGCATTTACTAATATTGCTTTCGGAATGTCTAATTTATCCACTTTAGAGTTATCCAAGGGTAAAAAGGGATTGTTAAGGTTAACATTATTATTATTTGTGTAATTATTGAAATTCGGGCTTTGTCCTAAACCTTCGGGAGAAACAGCATACGTGACGCCTTGTGGCTCCGGAGAATATTGTTGTAAAGATGGCATTAATTTGGTCACGGGTCTAACATTAATGGCATTTGAAGTAGATGGCGAAATTCTTTTTTGTTGACTAATTATATCATATAATGCTTGCATCTCAAAAGGAGAAGATGGAGTCGCACTATTCTGTTTCACGGCACTTTGAACTTTCACCAACATATCTCTTTTCATTACTATTGCGTTTAGCTCTTGCAAAACAACAACCATTTCCGGTCTGTCTTTTGGTTTTCTACTAACGCAACATTTACCTAAAGCAATTAAACTCAAAAACGACTGTTGTTCATCCAAGCCGCTTTTTCTATCGATTAAAGTTCCCAATTGTACTTTTGGAATGTTTTCTACTAAATCTTTTAAAAATTTGTGATGTCTTTGCTCGTCGTAAGCTCTTAGTCCAGTTGCTAATTCGAAAAGTACTATTCCAAAACTGTGCGTGTCAACTTTTGTGGAAAATTTTTTATGCCTTAAAAATTCATCTGGCAAATAAGGTCGCGTTCCGTGAACTCTACTCACTTTCATATGAGTGTAATGATTATATGGCCCTTCTCTGGCTAAACCAAAGTCTCCTATTTTAGGCTCGTAATTTAAATCGAGTAATATATTGGCACTTTTAATATCTCCATGAATTAATGGTTTTTCACCGATCGTATGTAAAAATTGAATGCCTCTAGCTGTTCCTGTAGCTATGTTAAGTCTCTGACTCCATGTTAAAGGTTTACTTCCATGCCTGCATAATAATCGGTCTTCTAAAGAACCATTAGGCATGAATTGATAAATTAAACAGGGATCTTCGCCATCCATACTAAAACCGTATAGAGGTAATATATTATCATGTCTATATGAATTGAGCATTTTAAGTTCTCCAAGGATTTGTTGGATTTGTATGGAATGATTTTCATCTGTTTCTGAATTTTTTGTTCTTTTAATTGCGACTAGTGTATTTTTCCATGTACCTTTATATACAGTTCCAAAACCCCCCTTCCCTAATATTGTAGAAGGATCCCAACCACCTGTGGCTATTTCCAATTCTTTGAATGTAATAAAAGGCAATATCCCCACTCTTTCTGCTATTGATGAGATTTCTGAAACATCTAAAAAATTTAATTGTTACTTAGCTTGATTTTATAAACAAACTAAATTTAAATAATTCCCATTATTAATATTTATGTTGCATTATCTTACTTTTATCTTTCGATGAATCTGGTTTTAAAAATTTTGATGGTATTTGATTTTGATGATTTGATCCCATTGGAGTATCAGAAAGGGGTCTGTTTAAGAGAGCAGTTTGTGCATTATTTCTAGAATTTTTAAAATCATTTACAGCAGAAGAACCAGGATCTTGTCCATTAATTATTTTATTTTCTGCCAAGTCGACATTTAAATTTTCTATAATTATGTAGAAAGCATGCTGCATTACACTTAACAAATCAATAACAATTAAAACCATAAATAAAAAATTTCACACAAACCATTTTGTGGTCGACATTGTGAAGTGTTTTGATCAAGTCTATTTGTAGTATCATTTTTTGAATTTTGATCAATTTTAAATAATCTATTTAAATTTTGTTCTCCTTCGTATATTAATTTATGATATTCTGGATCTACAAATGGTTTTATTATCAACATAGCTTGATAATGTTGCATTTTTGATAAAAGTACAAATAGTTCTAAAATTGTATGATTTTGGTGGCCCCATTTTGTTAGTAATTCATCTGTTGGTGAATTTCCTCTCAGTATTTCTCTTCTTAATGTTTGAATTGTAAGAACATCAAAGTTCATGTGAACTCCTCCTACAGGAAACATACATACATAATAAAAAAAAAGAAACGATTTAAATTTAAAATTGATTATAATATTTTTTTATTCTAAATATAGTTATTAACATGTGCAATATTACAAAACGTTTGTGAAATAAAAATAATAGTGAAAGTAGTAAATAACAGTAGAGTTTAAAAGTTTTTTTTTTTTTTTTTTTTACTTGCCTAATTCTTCCCACTTGTCATTTTGATCCAATATTCGACAGAGTCCAATTCTTTCAAAATAAGGAATGTCATAGACATATTTAGCTGTTATTTTTTTACTTTGAGCCATTTATTATTTGTCATTACAAAATTATCTCTATTACAAAATCATAACGCAGAAGATACATAATGACAACAAAATAAAACAGTGCTGCCATCGTTTAAAAAATAATGGCGGCTCTTATCTAACACGAACCTCTATTACAGTGGAAATATTTTTATAAATTTAATCGTTATTAATTTTTATTTTTTAAATCAGTGTTATAGAATGTTTATAGTTTAACATGGAAACAGATTCAGAAGATGAAATACCAGATTTAGTGCCTTTTAAACAAGTTCCAGTCACAATACTAACTGGATTTTTAGGTGCCGGTAAAACTACGTTGTTAAATTACATATTAACTCAACAACACAATAAAAAAATAGCTGTGATTTTAAACGAATTTGGTGAAGGAAGTGCTTTAGAGAAAAGTCTTGCAATTAGTGATAATAAGAATTTATATGAAGAATGGTTGGAATTGAGAAATGGATGTTTATGTTGCTCTGTTAAGTGAGTACAAAATTAACTTTCAATTATTACCATTAATTGTTCAATTTGAATTATTTAATATTTTTTAATATTTTCAGAGATAATGGTGTCAAAGCCATTGAGAATTTGATGAAAAAAAAAGGAAAATTTGATTATATACTTCTTGAAACAACTGGTTTGGCTGATCCAGGACCCATCGCTTCCATATTTTGGTTAGATAAAGAACTTGGAAGTGATTTGTTTCTCGATGGAATAATAACAGTTTTGGATGCTAAACATGCTTTCGAAGTAAGTTTTTTTTTTTAAATTATAAAAAAAAATTATATTATTATATAAAGCTCTAAATGTATAACATTAATCAGTTTAATTTTTTTTTTTTTTTTTTTAGCAACTGGGAATCACATCAGATATTGAAAAATCAGAAAACAAACCATTCGGTAAATTCAATGAAGCTTTAAGGTAATTTGAAATAAATATTACTTAACAATCACTCTAAAAATCTTAAAATTTAAATGTGTTATCGATAAATAAATCAATTTTTAATTATTTCCCAATAGAAATAAACAGTTGATGAGATTTAAATGGAATTAAATCAAAATTAAATTAATTAATACAAGTTTTCAAATTAAAGTTTTTTAACAGAGTAAATATTTTACATTGATGAAAACGTTTAATTAAAACATGGTAAATATTGATATAGTTTATTATTTGTTTAATAGATGGCATTCGAGAGCAATTAGAAATTTCCCAAGTTTTTCTTTGAAGTCGTTTTGTGAAACTGTTTTTCCCCCCCTCCCCTTCTCTTGTTTTAAAAAATTATTTTTATATTTAAATTTATGTTTACTTGTTTTAAATTTAATGCATTTTATTTGTCCAAGTTACAAAAAAAAAAAAAAAAAAAAAAGAACAACGTTTTCAATGCTTTTCCGATGTGTATATGCGTGTGTGCACAATACCCCCTTGGGGTAACATAACATCCCACTTATCCAAATCTCGTTTAATTATTTTTCTCGCGCTGATAAATAAATTTTTTTTTTTACTCCCTTTGATGCAACAAAATCGTTTAAATTTGATAAAAGCATATTTGTTGTTTCATGCATGTTGATGATCAATGATTCAATAAGAGGGAAAAAAAAAAAAAAAAAAAAATCAGTGATTTACACAAAAACCGTTGAAATTTTTTAAACCTGTCAATTTTCATAAGTTTCATAACTTTAAAAAACCAACGTTTTATTATATGCGTTAGCCTCAAAACTTCCATCATCAATTTTAAATTTTGTTGATTAATTTATTTAATTTTCAAACAAGGGAAAGAAAATTCACCGTATATATTATAATCAAGTTTAAATCATTTTATAAATTTGTTAATTTACATAAATTTAAGTTACAAAACAAAATGGTGGTGGCGGCGGCGGTGGTGGTGGTTTTATTTTAAAATCATTTTTTTTTTTTGCAGGCAAGTTGCTTTAGCTGATCTTGTTATAATAAATAAAATAGATTTAATAACGAAGGAATCATTAGAGTGCCTTATAAAACAAGTCAGGTAATAATTTTATTAATTAAATTATTTTTTTCCCCCTCCATATTTATAAAAAAAAAAAAAATTTTTTGTTTTATGAATGGTGGAAATGTGTAACGGATTTTTCCGATTTCTAAATATAAAATTCCAATTAAATAATTTTTATCACTTTACGTTTTTTTTTTCAAATAATTCATTCAAACGTATGCATATTTGTCGTACAATTTAAACATTGTCATCGAATGAATGAAATTTATTTCTATTTAATTCTATTCTATTATTATTATTATTATTATTATTATTATTATTTAGATCAAATCGTAATAAAAAAGTTTTCCTTGGAAAATTCTAAATTAAAAATTTTCCTTTTTTTTTTATTTTTCTTCCCACTCGGAAAATGTTTTCGCATTATTATACGTTACACATTCTGAATGCAAGAGTCCATTTTAGGTTTTTTTTTATTGTTTATTGAAAATCAAAATGATTAATAATTTATTAACATAATTTATTTACGCGGATTTCAGAAAAATAAATTCACACTCCAAAGTATTAACGTCTGTCAAATGCAAAGTGGGTTTAAATGAAATTTTAGATCTTCGAGCGTACAGTTCGTTTACACGAAGCGAGTAAGTACAATTTTTTTTTTTTTTTTTTTTTTTAATTAACGGTTTTTTAGGGTTTCTCGTAAGCTAAACAAATATTTTCCGTAACGTTTTCTTTTTTATTAAGCATTCATCATCGACTTTATTATTATTATTAAAATATTTAAATTATTGTCAGTCACGTAATTCTCATTGATGGAAAACTACGCCATTTGTTGTTATCATCGCATTTAATTTTTTCTCCTGTGCAAATAAATAAATAAATAAATTTTGGGGGTTTAAACGTTGCGTGTAATAAATCAAAAGTGAGTTCATCCCGTTCGATTATATATATATATATAAAATTTAATCAAGAGAATCCTTCCTTTTTTTTTTTTTTTGGTGTTAATACCAATATATTGTACTTAACCCCTGGGTTTCATCCTTAATTATCTGGATTTATTATTTTCACGCCCCGCACAACAACAATTTCAATACCGTTTCCAAAAAGGAATTTTTATTTATTTCTTTACTATATTATTCCGAGGCACAATTTTCCGCCTTTTTTTTCCTCTAAGATATTTCGTATCACTTGTTTACGTTTTATTAATTTTTGTAAAAGTGGTAGTACTGCTGTATCGATAATTTATCTTTCATATTCGGACGGTTGGTTTTAATATTTAATTTAAACCTTTTATTTATTTTAACCCATTGAAATTTCCCGAAAAAAAAAATCATTTTTCATAAATTTTTAAACGTATAAAATGAAAGGAATTGTCGTCGTCGTCCCCGTCCTCCCCATCCTCCCTTTTACAAATACTTGTTAATTTTTACATTATATTGAAATTTATATGATTAATGGGATTTAACGACTATTAAATTTTCCACCTTTTTATTTAATATAAATAATATTGACCGTTGGTCAACATTAATAAATAACAAATGGGGGTTTTTATTAACGTTCTCCACCCCTTGTTTACCGATGGAAAAGTCACTAATAATTTATATTATTTATTTATTTATTTATTTTTTTTTCATAAATATGGGAAAAATTTATTTGATTTATGTAACTGTGAAAATAAATATCAAAAATTTATTTAATAAAATTATATATGGATGGCGATAGAATGATATTCACGTACTTATGTATGTTTATATCAGTTTATTTTATTTAATTAAAAAAAAAAAAAAAAGAAAAGAATAAAAAAGTTGGCTCACTTCACATCTGCCACCAATAAATAGTTAATTCAAGCAATAAAAAAATAAAAAAAAAAAAAAAAAAAGGCTAAAGTTGAATGTTGGCAGGCAGGGATGCGAATATAAATACACCCCCTCCCCTCTTCCCTCAAAATACAAAAATGATCTGGTATTATCATCCCTGGTTTCACGCTTCTTGATCAATCTTTGGTCCTCTTATTGGTGGGTTTCCCCAAAGTTTGTACGCTCGCATTTAACAAATCACCCTTTTTTTTTTCTATAATATTCCCTTTTGATTGATGAATTTTCTTTTATTTTTTTGTCGTCTGAAGAAAATTTATTTATTTTTAAACGTCAAAAAGCGAGAATAATAATAATAATTTTATTGTTTTAATTTTTTTCAGGTTTTCCGACTTGATCGAATCGAAAGATGAAGGAAGAGGTCACACGATCGACAGTCGAATAAGAACTGTGACTCTAAATATACCCAAACGTATGACCCGAACGGGTTTGGAAAAATTTCTACAGGAATTACTATGGGAAAAGTGTGCGGAAAATGATGGGTCGGATGACGCCACGCGAAGTATCATATTGAGATTAAAGGTAAGTGAAATTTAATTAATATTTAACACTCGTTAAACGAAGGAAAAGTTTGCCGTAGACGTTGAGGGGGGAGGGGGAGGGACAGGTGCCTTAATTTTTGTGAATCGTTCATACGTTCGTGTTTCGGTTTCAATGATCTAATACATTCAACGATCTAATCATAATTGTAACGACGTACATGAGGATTTTTAATCCCAGTTTCCTTTTCAATGAAAACAAATTTTTTTTTTTTTTTTTTTTTTGTTCGAGTTTCTTTTTTTTTTTTTATTTATATATAAATATAAATATAGGGTTTATCTGTTTCTTCTTTTCTTTTCTATTTTTTTTTATAACCATTTATATATGTTTTTCTTGGGTTAAATCGCCGCACAATACCTATTGTTAACTGTTTTATTATAATGCTATCGTTTTAATTGAGTAATGTATGAAAAATATTTACAAACTTGCTTTTTTTCTTTTTAAATTTCTTCTAATAAAGAAAAAGAAAAAAGAAAAGAAAAAAGGCAACAAACACATACACACGCTTTTATGAAAGGTTTTATTATTATTATTATTTGTATTTTCTTTTATATCTATTTTTTTCGAAAATACTATTCAACGGTTTTTTTTTTTTTAAAAAAAAAGTACTTCTTGATTTTTCTGGTGATTAGACTTGGTTTTTTCCTTTTTTATTGGCAACAAATTAGGATTTGTATTTATTTTGGGTAAATATTTTTTTCGTTATGTTATTGCCAGAGAGTGAGAGAGAGAGAGGAAAAAGATGGAGAGAGAAAAAAAAATGAGCGTCGTTTTTTTTTTTACTATAAAATCAGGTATCGTGCGAACAAATTAAGTTGAGGTGTTTTGTCTTTCATTAAAAATTTAGGGTGTTTGTTGTTGTTGTTGTTGTTGTTGTTCTACTACTCGGAAAGGGTCAAAAATTTTCAAAAGTATCGTGTCCGGGGTTAAAATTGGAATTTTTTTTTTTTTCCATTGTCAAAAGGTAACGAAAATTAAAATGTATTTAATAAAGGGTTTCATCGCCGGAAGACACGAAAAAAAAAAAAAAAAAACTTCTTGACCTTTTTTATTTTGGCTCGGACCTAACGGATACCTCTTTTTTTCTTATAAATATTTATAAGGTTGTTGTCGTGAATGGTGGGTTCATTATGTTCGCATTAAAGTAATTGATATTTACGGGTTGAGACTTGAAAAATATGCGATTTAGTTTTGTACCTTAAACGATTGCTCTACCGTATTTAATCCTTTTGTCCAATGGAAAGGGATCCCTGTCTATTTTTAATAATTCCCGAAGTCCACCGTTTACACAATCAAGATTTCAATGATACAATTTAAAATAAACGTCAATGTATGTAAAAAAGATATGAGATTCTTTTTATCATAACAAAAGGTAGGAGATGAAATGTTAGTCAAAACGTGTGACGGTGAGATACGATGTTGATATAAGAGCGCGTAATGAGGGGGAGTGAGATAAAATAAAAATAAAAAAAAAATTATGAAGGATGAATATATATATATATAAAAAGGAAAAAAAATTTTTTAAAGTTGACAGATTTGTTACCAAACAAAGGAAAAAGATAATAGATCAATTTTCAATAGGTGGAAGGGGGGGGAACTCTGGGGGTTGTTGACAAAATTTTATTGTGATTGGTGGACTATTTATAAATAGGATCACTACAAACAGAGTTTATTATATTGAATACCAAATCTGTTTTCATTATATTTAGTTAGGGCCGCCGTTGTATAATCGCATAGACGGGGGGAGGGAATGGGGAAAAAGAGATAGAGAGAGGAGATTTGAAAAACGAGTGGAAAAGAGAAAGGGAAGAAATTTGTTGTCGGGCAGACGCATTGAAAAAAAAAAATCGTCTTTTAGATTCCGGTATTATTTTCTTTTCCCAAAAAAAAAAAATTTATTTGTTTGTTCTGGATTCAAAATTATTGTCGTTAAAAGGTTTTATTTTATTATCATTATCATTTTTATTTTTTTTTGGAGTTTATTTATGCGACACATGGTTTCCGGAAAAAAAAAAAATTTTTTTCTTTAAACGATAATCGATAAAAGTCGAGAGTTGAATTTTCCGAGTAATTTTCCTTTTTTTTTTTTTTTTCTTTATTTGCATATATTTATTAATTTTCATAAAAAAGAAAAGAAAAGAAAAGAAAAAAGCTCAATGGAAGATAAAAGATTAATTTAGTATTTTCCCCATTAGAAAAGAAAGGCAGGGAGGGAGGGAGGCAGGCAGGCACGTCGTTGAAATTATTATTAGCCCCTTTGATAGCTCAAGAAAAAGGGTCTTTTTTTTCTGTCTTTGTCTTTTTTTTTTTTCCTTTCTTTTTCTACTCTCTCTCTCTCTCTCTCTCTCTCTCGCTTTTCCTCCGATTTATTCATTAAACTTTCCCGCGCGTTCAAACTTAACAATAAAATAGTTTGGAGACTTAAAAAGGATATAATCGACATTGAGGAATTTTCATCAAATAACTTTATAAGGGTTGGTTGGGAGCGTTTGCGTGAAAATAGACACGCGAGAGAGAGAGAGAGGGAGAGGGAGAGTGAGAGAGAAAGAAGAGGCGATGGAATGCTGCGACCATTTTTCCTCTATTCACACAAATGTATAAAAGAAAAACTTGTTAATTTTATTTTTATTTTTCCTTTTTTTTATGGGTGGGGGGCGGTGTTAGGGCGGGGGCGTTAAATTGGGAGGCAAATGGAAGTAAAGGGTAAATATATATATATAAATTTTTTTTTTTAAATTTGACAATATAATAACAACGAACATAATAAAAAACGATTAAAAGGAAAAATAATATCATCCATTGTGTAGATATTATATAATAATAATAATAATAATAATAAAATTCCTCCTCAAACTCTCTCGTCGGATCCTCTCGGGTCTGTTAGTTCAATTTTTCAATGGTCGTATTTATCCATGAAAATTTTCCAGGAATTTTCTTTTTTCTTAGCGTTCGCAAAGATCAATATTGTCTTTTGAATAAATGAAAAAATAATGGCAAAAATATTTTTTTTAAAATGATTTTTTTTCACCCCCCCCTTTTTTTCTTTCTTTCTTTTTCTTTTTCATTTTCATCTCAATTTTCTTTTTTTTTTTCTTTTTTCTCTTTCATCTTTTCTTTTTCTTTTTTTTTAACGCCGTTAATGATTATCTCTGGAGATATTTTAAAACTGAGATAAATATTCGGAAAATTTTTTTTTATTTTTCAAATCTTTTTTTTTTTTTATTTGTATTTCGGAAAATTTTTTTGTTTTTGTTGCCCACATCCTTTCTTTTTTTTTTTCTCTTTCCACGTTTTTTTTTCTTTCCCCCCCCCCCTTTTTTGACGATTTGAATTTATTTTTAAAAAATCGTTAAATTCGATTTGTCACGGACGACGATTTGCGAATGCGTAGGGAAATTATTTTGTTTCATCTTCTCCATTTTTGTATCATTTATCGTTTTAAAATTTGTACGAAAATTTTTTTTAAAGATGGCGTCACGCCCAGAGTAAAGGGTAGTAACGAGTTCAGATGAATTTTTAGGCGAGGAGCCCATCAAGATTTTGGTTAAAAATGGAGAAAAAAAAAAAAATGTTCGAGCAAACGATTTCACACAAGCCGAAATTTTCCACGAACGTTTTTTTTTTTTTTTTTTTTTATTTTCCTTCTTTTTCGGTGAAATTCTGGAAAATTCCAATAATATGAGATTCGTGTTATTCGTTGTAATTGTCATTTGAGTCGAATGCTTTTCTTCATTCGTGCTCCGGGTTCATATAGAAAATTATTATTATTAATATTATTATTATCAAACATTTTCTATTGTTCTCTTTCTCTTCCTCCCCCCTCCCCTTCCAGTCCCCCTCCCCCGTCCCGACGACGAACGTTCGCGAACGTGACCAAAGTAATTTTTATCTTTTATTTTTATATTTTATTTATTTTTTTCATCCTTTTTTTTTTTTTTTTTTTTTTTTTCTTTTTCAAAAAATAATTTTTCGTGTTCGTCGCATTCTTACACGGTTTTTCCACGCACAAAAGGGTTTTCCCGGAAAATTTTTTCCTTTTCTTTTTTTTTTAAAAGATATTCGGACGAAATATAAGATTTTTTTTTCTTTTCTCTTTTACGTTTTTTTTTTTTTTTTTTTGTTTTTTGAATTTAAATCATTTGTTGTTATGAAAATGATAAAAGAAAATTTTTTTTTTGTTATGAATAAATGATTCGTTAATTTTTTTATTTATTTATTTATTTATTTCATTGAGATGGTTATGAAATGATTCAGTTCTTTCATAAAAAAAATTGCAATATTTTGCATTTATTTTTTTTTATCGTCTGCTTTTATTTTATTACGTCACATTTCGCCATTTTTTTTTTTTTTTTATTATTATTACAGGCCGCGTTAAAAATTTGAGACAGTTAAGTTTAAAAAAAATTATTAAAAGAGAGAGATAGAGAGAGATGGTTTTATGATATTGTATCATTCATAACTTTAAAAAATTATTATTATTATTATTATTTTATTGCTTTTTACGACAGTAGGTCTGTAATATACGTACCGTTCGTCAAATTCGTAAAATTACAAAAAAATTACGTATTTTTTTTTCTTATTTATGACGTCATTTTATTAATTTTTTTTCTGTTGGGGGTGGGGTTTTAAGGGAATCGTTTCGATCAAAGATGAATCGCACCCGGTCATAGTTCAAGCCGTTTACGATTTATACGATATTGAAACGATAGAAAATGAAAAAGAAGCCATCGACGGTACGAGGTTTATTTTCATCGGTAAGTTCTTTTTTTTTTGAGGATGTGCGTGTCTAGATGGTAGATCGAATTACAGGGAAAAAATTTTTTATTTATTTTCAGGTTCGGATTTAAACGTCGACAATTTACTTAGAATATTCGAAGAGTGTTGCGTCGTGGAAGGAAGTTAAAAAGTCAAATATGATAAACATACGTACATAAATCGGTATGTGTTTTGTTTATTCACATGTTAAATATTTCTTCTTTCTCTCTCTCTCTCTCTATGCGAGAACATAATTTTTAAGGGTTTAAAAACGTACTCGATGGTACGAAAAACGATTTTATTTTTAAAAAAAACCACAGACGTCGCTCACGCCTTTTTTTTATTTTCGTCTGTGGTTTTTTTTAAAAGTTTATGTACCATCGATCTACGTGCATGTTCGAAAAATTCAGGCTTTTCGATTTGAATTCACGCAAAGTCCTTCCTTTTGCTTGCGATAATAATAATAATAATAATGGGTTCGGTTGTGATATATATTAAATGTTTGATTGTACCGTGAAATCTTTGAGGGTTGCCAACTGGTTGTTTACAAAAAGCTTGACGTGGCAATAGAACGATTATAATAAATATTAGGTCTTTTGTTGTTGTTGTTGTTGTTCGTTCCGATCGTGGGGGTGACTACTGTAGGTAGGTAGTTAGAGTACATTGTTGCCAATTATTAATTTCTTTTTTTTAATTACGCGCCCACGTTTTTGTTTTATTTTTTGTTTCTTTCGTTTCGTTTTGGGCGTAAAGGACGCGAGTAGTATATATTCAAAATTTGAGAGATTATCAAATAAAATAAATTATTATTGACGATAACGTTTTTGAAAAGTCAATTCTTTTTTTTTTTTAGACGGTTACATTGTTAGCGTAGAAAAGGAATTCAATGGTTGATGTTTCTATGGTAACATATCGTCAACGTTGACATTGCCTTATTCAAAACTCATGTGGTGATGACAATCAAACTTGCTCAAATGTGTAATTCCATTTGTTTCAACCATTTTCTCAATTTCCTTTGTCTCTATATATATATATTTTTCTTTTTACCCAATTTTCTTTTTTTTTTTTTTTTTCGTTTTCCTCCAGTTTCCCTTGTTTGTTTAACGTGCGTACGTACGTATATCCGTTTACGGATTTTTTTTTTCCAAAACCGAACGGGGGGTAAACCTATATACCTAAACCCGTACCTTCACACGCATGAGGAATAAGAAGAAAGAGTTTTAAAGATGAAATTCCCCCTTTTTTTTGCTATTCTTTACCTGAAGTAAAAATTCGTTCGCGATTCATTACCTTTGCAAAATAAGAATAATATAAAATACGTAAAAACGATCAATTAAAAAAACGGGAAACAAACACGACAAACGATACAACTTCAATGACGACAATAAAAAACAACAACCAAAACAATCCCTTAAACGTTTTTTTTTTTTTTTTTTTAATCGTAGCAGTGATGCCGTCAGCTGGAAATAGTCGAGAATAAAAAAAAAACTAAAATAAAAAATTTTCATTTCGTTATGTTGCCTGCACCCTTTTCTACATAAGTAAAAAATCAAGTCTCTCTCTCTCTCTCTCTCTCTCTTTCTTTCTCTTTCTTTCTCTTTCTCGTTTTTTAAAATAAAATTCGTGAACTTGAGTAATTTTTTTTTTTTTTTTTTTTTTGGTGAAACTATTTCCGATCGATAAATTTTCTTCTTTTTTTTTTTTTTTTTTTTTTTTTTTTTTTTTTTGAAAACTTTCGGCGTTACAATTATTATTATTATTATTATTACTATTATTATTTTTGACGCGGTTTTTATTTATGTATTCATAGGAAGGGAAAAAAAAAAGCGAAATTGAAATTAAAAAAAAAAAAAAGAACGCGCAACACCTTGACGGTTAAAAATAAATGAATGAGATAAATGACAGATTCAAACAAAATAACACTTGTGTGTGTTTTCTAAACAAAATTTAAAAAAAAAAAAAAAAAAAAAAAGGAGGAGACACGCAGTCTGGTTAAAAACGGTAATTTTGCCTGAAAAAAAAAAAAAAAGGTTTTTTTTTGTGTGAGTCCTTAATAAGGGTGGGGGGGGGGTTTCATCTCGACGTCCTTCTTTCGTGGTGTGTGTTTGTGCTTCTTCTAAATTTGACAGGATTATTAATGTCATGTGCGTGGTAATTAAAAAAATTTAAATTAATATTTTTTTTTTTTTTCACGGCTTTAAAACGTCTTCGTAATTTTATAATATACGTAAATAAATTTTCGCGGTTGTAAACGCGCGTATTTTAATAAAATAAAAAAAAAAAAAAAACGCAACGTTACGAATCGCAGTACCGACAGAAACGATTTTTTTTTTTTTTTTTTGTAAATTAATAATAATTTCATTGAATTTTTCCCATTAGAAGAGGGAGGAGAAGTGCACGTTTAATTTAATATTACGCGACTTGATATATGTGTGGGTGGTGGCGGCGGCGGCGGCGGTAGGTTTTTTTCCGTTTTTCTAATTACACGTTTTACACGCGAATCGTTTATTTTTCAATAGTAGACTTACCAATTTTCGGTGTCTCGCTACGTTTTGTTCACTATTATTTAATAGTTTTAGATTTTTATATCGATTTTCCATCGATTCGATATAATCGAACGAGAGAGAGTTTAAAAAAAAATTCATTTCGATTATCGAGTTTTCTTTCACGATTTTTCAAATAAGAGATTTTTCTTAAAAATTCGATTTAATTGATAACGAGAGAGATTCCTATCGTAAACCGGTTGCATTAAAATTGTTGACAAAGGCTAGCAAAGAACGGGAGATGATGTGGATGTCGATGGTAATGAGAGAGAGAGAGAGAGAGAGAGAGAGAGAGGGGGGGGGAGTGGGAGAGCTCGGCGCGCGAACTCTTTCATTTAAATCTTATCCGAACTTATTAAATACTTCAACTATATGAAATTGAATAAATAAAAAAAAATTATCCCGACGAATAAGCGCGGGATTGGTTAAATTGAATAGCGTCGTGAATACTTTGAATGTCAGCAGGGTTCTTGGTTTTGAGATCCCTTATTATTGGGGGGAGAAAAAAACACGCCCCGCAGCGAAAACGACAAGAGAATGGTAGGAAAGGAAGACACAGGTGGCATTCAATCCCACAGTAGCTGGTGGTGTGGGGGAGGGAAGGGGAAGGGGGGCGTAAGAGTGGTAGTAGTAGTAGTGTGAACAACAATTGTTCATCGTGCTCTCATTGTGACTAATCTTTATATTTATATATAGAAGAGCAAAAAAAAAAAAAAAAATTTCAATTCTATTCAAAACTTTTTTGTGTTGTAAATATTTGTAAAATAATTAATATATATATATATATATAGTAATTTGTTTGATTTAAAGCCGTCGTCGTACGTACAGGCATAGTCAGGCGTGCGCGCGCACACACAAACACACATGACAGAAAACGATGTTAAAAAGAGGAGGGGGGAGGGGAGGGGGGTCGGTCGGTCCAGATGAATTCGATGCAGAAAAATCGCTTCAACGACTTTATTCAATGGAATGATGTCGGGGGGTTTTTTTTGCGATGAATGAATTATAATGAGACCTCCTAAATAGTTGTCGGTATTTCTTTTAAACGTCGTCGTCCATCGGTGGTCCGATTAACTCACTTCCTTCTCAACTTATTATGAAAAGAGAGAGAGAGAGAGAAAGAAATAGATAAATAAGTTTGAATTTCAAACCAAAATATTTTCCTTCTTTGTCTTCCCCTTCCCAAATATTATTTTTTGTTTCCAAAATATTTTTGTGATTCTTTTCTTCCTCGTTTGTCATTGTAGCGTATCCATCTTTGATATTTCATATTATTATTATTATTATTTGTTTGTTTGTAAATCTTATTTTAAATTATAAAAATGTTTATTTTAATTCTTTTTTTTTGAAATTGAGATTTCACGGGTTTCCGTTTCCGTAAATTTTTGTTTTTTTTTTTTTTTTAATATGTCGAAAATGTTGATGAAACATGTTGTGTGCTAAACAAAAACAAACATAAATATAATATGTGTCATCTTATTATTCAAGTATGAAATTTTTTTTTTTTTTTAATATATGCTCTTGTGATCGTTTGAACGATGTAATTATTATTATTATTATTATTTATGAATTGTTTAATGCGTTGAGAAGAGAGAGAGAGGGAAGATGAAAGAGAGAGAGAGAGAGGAAAAATCTTTAATATTCACTTTTATATCTCCCCAATTTTTTTCCTGTAATGAAACCCCGGTGGGTTCACCCGCTTCAATTATTTCACATACAAGTGGACTCGAGTGTTGTTCACTTGTCCTCCAATTCACTATGCATCCATGTTGTACTTTCACTCGATTCCTTTCTTTGGGTACCATACGAACCACTTGACCACATGTTCACATGTCTATTGCCACGTTCGCGCGTTAACCATCATTGTGGCCTTATCATATAATTATTTTTCAATACAATCAAACTTCTTGCGTTTTTTATCAATATGTTTCCTTTTTTGTTGTTGTTGTAAAAACTGTTGCACGTTTTTTGCATATTCTGCCACGACAAAATTTTCATTTTTATTTCGAAAAAAAAAATGACGACGAGATGAAAATATACGGAAAAGGTTTTTTTTTTATATATATATTAACCGGATAAAGTTATTGCGAGAGTTTGTGTGTAAACATCCCGATGGGTTTAAATGTTATTGCCATTTAAAGCCAGAGAGAAATATTTTATTATTACCACTTCAATCAAATTTTCATTCTTCTCTTTTCTTTGTTCTTTTAACTACAAACAAACAAACGAACGAACGAACAAACGGAGGGGAAAAAAAAAAATAATCGTTTGCTGCCATTTTTTTTTTTTTGAGTCCTTTTTTTTTTTTAATACACGTTTCCATATATATTTATTTATTTACATTTTATGCTTTTTTTTTTGTTTAATATTTAAGTTTAAATTATTATCATCATCATCATCACTCTATATATATTTATATTATTAAAAAAAAAAAAGGTTTTGTCAATGGGAAAAGTCACATTATTGAATTTTATAGTCGACATTTTCTTTCTTTTTTTTTTTTTTTAATAAAATTTTTATTTATATTAATTCTTTTCTTTCTTTTTCTTTTTTTTAAAGTAAATAAAATATTTAGAAAAAAAATTTTTTTTTTTTTTATTTCTCATAATAAACTTACGAATAATTGTTTGTTGTGTGTGACGTAATATGTTCCGACAGCGCGTGATCGTTATATATATATACACCCTTTTTTGGAAATTCTAATAAAAAAATTTAACTCGTTTTTGGTAAGGGATTTCTTTGCCATTTTATCTTTTTAAAATCTTCATATTGTATTTGCTTTTGTACGACGTAAAAATTGTTTGTACGAAAAGAAAGATGATGATGATGATGATGATGATGATGATGATGATGATGACGGTGGTGGTGGTGGTGATGGTGATGGTGATGGTGGAAGGAAAAGCGTTGGTTGCGATTGTTTTACTGCGTTCGTTTTTTGTTAGGCTTTTTTTTAAAAATTGTTATTGTTGTTGTTGTTGTTGTTGTTGTTGTTATTATTATTATTATTATTATTATTATTATTATTATTATTATTATTATTATTATTATTGTTTGATGAAGTTTGATGATGATGATGATGATGATATGTGAAGAAAAATTATGGGGGTAGAATTGGAAAGGAAATCGGAAAGAAAAGTTACAATGTATCGATTGTGTGTTTGTTGATTGGTCGGTTGGTCGGTTGTTGTCATAGATTTTCTTTTTTTTTTTTTTTTTTTTTTTTTTTTGGAAGAGTTGACCGAGTTAAAGCTGATAAAAGTTTTTCCTTTTTTTTTGTTGGGTTGTAATAAAATAATTGTAAAAGTTTTTGTATTTTATTTTATTAGAGAGAGAGAGAGAGATAGAGTGAGATGGGGAAAAAAAAGGAAAATGAAAACTATTTTAAAAGGAAAAATCCAATATTTGAAATCGGGAAAGTGGGTTTCAATTTGTAAGTTAATTGAAACTCTAAAGAATCCATCGACGGCCCATTGGGCGGAGAGTGAGATAGATAGAGAGAGAGAGAAAGATAAAGAGAAAGATAGGAAAAGAAGGTGCGGTGGTAGTGGTTGGCGGTGGCGATTGGAAAGGCAAAAAAACTGTAATCAACAACAGTTTCTGCGTGAAATCTTTTCGACTCGAAAAAGAATTTCCTATTGAACCCCCCCCCTTCCACATTTCCCTCCCTCCCCCTCCGTAAATCTTTTTCCCATTTTCATTCCGCAAACTGAACATCTGACAAATTTTTTTTCTTTTTTCTTCTATCTAGTTCCACTTTTTTTTTCTCTTTTTTCCTTTTTTAGAATTTTCTTTTTTTAAAAAAAATAAATTAAGGCGTAATATTATTAATTAAACTTATCTAATGCCACGATAATTTTCATTTATTGTTTTATTTACAAAAAAAAAAAAAAAAAATGATGATAATAATAAAAAAAAAAAACGTGTAAACGTGGTTCTAGTCGATTCAGATAAGCAAAAAGTTCATCGAACGATTTTCTTTCTTTTTTTTTCTTCCTTTCTTCCTTATCCTTATTTCCCCCCGTCACCTTTTTTTCCCTACTTTTCTTTTCATTCAATAATAAAAAAAAAAAAAAAAAAAAAGAAAATTTTTATTGGGGATCCCAACGAGAGAAACAATTTTCTTGGGGGATAAGAAAATGCGGGGGTGGGAAAAGTTTGTCAGCTTTTGCAACAGAATTTGATAAAAAAAAAAAAAAGAAAGAAAATTTTGAATTCCTCTTTCTCCCCTTTTTCCCCCCCTTTTTTTCCCTTTTTTTTTTTTTTTGCTTTTCATTTAATTCTTTTCTTCTCTTTATTTCTTTTCTTTCTTTTCTTTTTTTTTTTTTTTTTTTTTGTTCCGTTTTAAGAAATAAATTTTTGTGAAGATCCTTAAAGTTATCAAACTTTTTTTTTTTTGGATTCGAATTGATTTGATATTTGTTGTACGTCGTCGAGATTTTTTTTTTTCTACCGAAATTATTTTTTCTTTTCTTATTCCTTGAGGAAAATTTTACCTTTGACCTTTTCCTTTTTTGGGGGGGGGAATGGTGGTGAGTAACTAACCGAAACGAAACGATTTTTTTTTTTTTTGCATATCGTTAACTCTTCATTTTTTTTTTTTCTTTTCGAATCGAATAACGTCGGAAATTTTTTTTACGCCCCCTCCCCCGCCCTCGGGTCCCCCACGTCATTTTTTACTCCTCTTTCCCCCTTCGTCTCGTTCCTTTTTCCTAAAATTCAAAATGGAGGAAAATTTAACGAGTTTAAAAAAGGAAATAATAATAATTTTTTTATTAGATAAATAATTTACGCTCGCGCTATCTTTGAACAAATGATTGTTTTAAACATTTCACCTTGTGTCGTTTTATTAACATTGTTTGTTTGTTTGTTTGTTTGCTTGTTTGTTTAACTATCGTATCATAATTTTTTTAAATGATTGTTTAAGAAAAAAAAAATTAAAATTTTTGAAAAAATGAAAGAAAACTGTCTTGGCACACAACTCTCGCACGTGAAAGAATATTGCGAAATTAAACGTTTGTATATTTTTTCGATGAGTTTTTTTTTTTTTTTTTTGTTTGTTTTCGTTTGTTTGTTATCGTTTGTTATCTATTCGAATCTCGTGTACAAACTTCCGACCCGATTAAAATTTTCAGGTACGAATTTTTATAAATAAATTAATGAAAGCATTTTTTTTTATTTTGATTTTCGGTACGTTTTTCCATACTCGAATGAAAAAAAAAAGAAAAGAAAAGGCGGGGAGGGAGGGGGGAGGGAGAAAGAAAAGAAAAAACCTTTGAGTAAATTAATTTAAAAAAAAAAAAAACAAAATGGAGTTATAAAAACTTTTCCTTTTTTTTTTTTATAAAAAACTTTATAAATTTAAAAAAATATATATATTATATATTAGTAAAAGGAAAAACAAAAAAAAAAAAAAAAGTTTTTCTTTTTTTTCCTTTTTTTCCTTTTTTTTTTTTTTAAAAAAACTTATTATAAAAATAATTATTTGCATTTTAAAGAAAAAAGGAGGGAAAAAAGTGGTGGGGAAAGGGAAAAGGAAGGGAAATTTGTCGGCGTCAAAGAAAGTTTTTTTTTTCCCTCTCCTTCCCACGCGTTTTCTTTTTAATTTTTTTTTTTTTTTTATATAATTTAATTTATTTTATTTTATTAAAAAAAATTGATGTTTTGGCGACAAAATGTTTCCGTTTGTTCGTTTGTTGTGTTTGTCGTGTTTAATTGAAATACAAACGAGAATTTAAAAAAAAAAACACGATATTAATAAGAAAATCGATAAATCAAAAAAATTATTTTTTTTTTTTTGTATGTTAACGGATCGAAAGTTACCAAAATAATAATAATAATAATAGACAACCCCAGTTTGAAAAATTATACTCTTTTCGGAACACGCAGGGGGTAGGAAGGAGAGGAGAGGGGAGGACAGTTTAGGTCACCACCTTCCAGTTTCTCATGGATTGTGTTTGCCTCGTTTCTTATTTTTTTTATATGGACGCCTCCTATCAACCAATCGGAATTTTGTACGTATTGGACCCTCCTTTATGTTAACCGCGCATGTATTTAACTCGATGGGGTTTCAATCAGTAAATTATAACCCAGAAAAAGAGAGAGGGGGGGGGGAGAGAAAAAGAGAGAGAGAGAAAAACGTTCTTAGAAGAATAAATATTTGATTGAGAGATGCTTTAAATAATCTCGTTTTTTTTTTTTTTTTTTTTCCTCGACGTTTATTTTTTTTATTTTATTTTCTTTTTCTTTTTCTTCTTTTTCTTTCGTTTTATTACTTACTCTTTTATTTTTCATAAGAAAAGAAAATTTTCCACCGGAATAATTTTCCAAATTGTTTTCTTTATAACTTTATTTTCCACTTTTTCCTTTTTTTTTAAACATAAGATTTCATATATATTATGTTTTTTTTTTTTTTTTTTTTTTTATGTAAAGCAAAGGAAAACAAAGGAAAAACGTTTAAATTGATTTTGGGTTTTACTTTTTTTTTTCCTTTGTTCAATTCATTTTATTATTATTATTTTTCTCTCGACGTTATTCCTCGTTTACTGTATTATTTTATTTAAATTTATTTTTTAATACTAAAAAAAAAAAAAAAAACATACGTCGGTTTGAATTAGAGAGAGAAGGAAAAAAAACAGTTTATGAATACGCGAGAATAATAATAATAATAATAATAATAATGATGATGATGATGTCGGAGTCTGTAAACGAAAAAGAACGATATCGTTTTCGTCAATAACGTATACGTAAATATATATATTTGTGTGTGTGTGTACAAACAATATAAGTAGGTTTGTTAAATTCGTAAGTTAAACATGAGCGAAATAGTTTTTACTTATTTATTTAAAAAGAAATTTTCATTTGGTGTTATCTTATTACGAAAGGCTTTCCGGCAGGGTGAGCGTTCGAACGTGTTGAAAACGGGCGGAGCTTGGGTCTTTCGTCTTCTGCCTAAATCTCCTCATGGTTTCCCCTTGGTTCGTACATATTTTGCCAGTTGTATTCTATTGTTCGAATCATCTCTTCATCACTGATATCGTTTCTAGTTGTTGGTAGTATGATGATGATGATAATAATTTAAAATGTGTTGTTGAGTCGAAACGTTTTCTTTTTTTTTTGCTGTCGCCGTCGGAAGTTGTCTTATTCGCGTGTCGCAGTTAACGGTTAACAAACGGAATGATTATTATTATTATTTTTCGTCGCGATTGAATAATTTGTGTGACGGGGGATAACATTGGTGTGCATATAGTATTAGTATTTCAATGTGTGTCGCAATGGACGAAACCGGTCGCCTGGTTATAGGCTACCGCGATTTGCAACAATCACAAACGACGACTCCGATATTGATTAATCCCATATTGACGGTTCCTATTAGAAACAGTGAAATATCAAATTCGTCGGAAAGTCCGTTGGATTTAAGGGGTAACGTTGGAGGAGAACATTTATCACCCATGAGTCCGGTTTCCGTTTGTCGTTTGACCGATAGCGAAGAATCAGATGTTAACGTGGATTCGGACGATGAGTGTTCGCCGTCTTTGATGCAAGCGAGACACACCATAGCAGAATTTCACAGGCATTTTGCAAATAGTTTAGCCACGGAAATGAATCCGAATCAACCGTCACCGGAATCTCCGGATCAAAACGATGGCGGATTGGATGAAACGTCGCCATCATCGCCGACGGATTCGAGTAAAAAATCATTGGCACTCGTTAAACCTCCGTATTCGTACATTGCTTTGATCACCATGGCGATATTACAGTCGCCTCGTAAAAAATTAACATTGAGTGGAATTTGTGAATTTATCATGTCTAGGTTTCCGTATTATCGTGAAAAATTTCCCGCTTGGCAAAATTCAATACGTCATAATTTATCACTTAACGACTGCTTTATAAAAATCCCGAGGGAACCGGGTAATCCCGGTAAAGGAAATTATTGGACACTCGATCCCATGGCGGAAGACATGTTCGACAATGGTAGTTTTTTGAGAAGGCGTAAAAGATACAAACGTCAACCCCCGGATTTTGTACTTCGTGAACACCACGCAGCAGCAATGTCTCAATTTTTAGGGAGTTCCGATCCATATCATCACGCGAGCCTGTTAGGATCTCATCCTGCACTTCACAATCCCTACCAGTACTTATCTCCTCTTCCGCCGGCTATACCTCTCCTATCGCCGGCAGAACTCGCTCGCTTATCATTGGGACCACTGGGTTTAAACATATTAAATCAACAACAACAGCAGCAGCAACAACAACAACAAAATTCCGGCGGTATCCCGTGCAAACCCGTACCTGTTAATCCCGCCTCAGTTTCGCCGACTCCAAAAAACTCTTCGAATAAAAATAATTCGATAACTTCTTCCGGTTGTACAAAATCAAATCATAAAAATGGATTCACCATCGATTCTCTCATAGGAAAAGTTGCCGGGGTAGCAAATCAAAATAAAGGAAATAGTAATAGATTAAGTCCTATTTCATTAGCACAGCTTAGATCCAGGCCCGAACTGGAAGTAACGGAATCTTCGGATGCTCAAGTGCCAACAACAGTCGTCACACGTAGCTTCGATTCAGCATTTGCTCCCTTAAGTGCGGGTTGGGCTCGGTGAATAAAGTATTTTTCTCAAATATGTTAAGTTCCTTAACAACAAACAACAAACGACAACAAACAGCAACAATATAGCTTATGTATAAATATGAAAAATTCAATGTACATATATATATATGTATATATATATATATATATTTAATAATAATGATGATAAAAATTATTTTATTATTATAAAATTGATCGAGCGATGATTTTAAGATAAATTCTTTGCGCGAGACCCTTGGGAAAACGTAATGTATTATTATTATTATTATTATTATTATTATTATTATTATTATTATTATTATTTTAATAGATTTAAGTATTGAACAGAAAATAAAATTTTCTTTTAGTTATCGTTCAGAATTTTATTTTAAAACAAGAACAAAATCGTAGCATTTTACAAATTCGTTTTTCGCGAAAAATTTTCCGACTATCATTTTTATTCGTAATGATGATAATAATAATAATAATGATGATGATGATAATAGGCTTACGAGTCGTTTATTTGTTAAAAGAATTAACTAATCTAAAGGAAATTTCCAGCTGGTTAAAGTAAATTAATTTCCGCAGTTTAATCGAGGGGGGAAAAAATAAAAAAACGTGGCAGCATGAACGATTTGATTTTATTTCATTTTAATACGTCTTACTATTATTATTATTATTATTACTAAAGAAACGTTTGAATTATTATTATTATTATCATTAATATTTTCCGTTGATTGAAATATAAAAAAGTGTGACGAAAAATTATTATTATTATGATCATTTTACGATTATTTAATAAATTAAAAAAAAAAAAAATTTCAATCGTTTGTCAACGTCAAATAACTTTTTAATAATAATGATAATAATAATAATAATAATAATTAAATTTAAACAAAAAATTTTTTACAACAACCGTCGGCTGTTTAAATTAATAATAATAATAAAAAACTTTTATTTTATTTATTTATTTTTTTAATAACAAATACGACGAACGAAACGGAAAAAAAATTAAAATAATAATAATAATGTTATTATTTATTATTAAATTATGTTATTATTATTATTATTAATATAAATAACAAAATTAATAATAAATAAACTTATTTATTTTAAAAACGGGAAAATAAAAAGGAAAAAAAAAGAAGAAAAAGCATTTATTAAATTTTGTTTAAATAAATATTTTTTAATAAATTTTAATAAATGACTTTCTCTCTTTCTTTATTTTTAATTTCATCAAGTGATAATGATAATAATAATAATAATAATTTATTTAATTTATTAATTAATAACGTAAACTCTTTACATAACAAAAAAAGGATTTTTATTTTAAGGCGTTTTTTTTTTAAAAACATTTTTATTAAATTTTAATAATTTACCGTCGGTAATTTTTTTTTTTTTTCGAGTTTGGTATTACTAACATTTAGTATATCAGTGCTGCCAACTTCGACATCATTATTATTATTATTATTAATTTATGCGACGAATTTTGGGATTATTATAACATCTTTATTGAGTTTTTAAGAATTTTTTTTTTTTTAGGAAATTTATTATAAATTATTATTATTATTATTATTGGAAAAATCGAAGGAAAATTCTAAGGATGAATAAATAAATAAATAAATAATCGATAATAAGTGCAATATATAATTATGTATATTATTTATATATATATATATATATAAATTTTGAATTCATTTTAATAAATCCGACGCAAAAAAACATTTTAAAAATTAATTTTTTTTTTTTTTTAAATTTTATTTATTTAAAAATTTTTTTAAATAAAATCCTTCATAAACAAACAAACAAACAAACAAAACAAAAAAATAAAATAATTGTCGTCTGCTTTGTTTACATTTTTTTTTAATAAAAGAAAAAAAAAATTGGATTTTAAATAATTAAAAATTAAAAAAAAATTTTTTTTCGACGTGATTATTATTTTTTTGTTGTTATAGCCCATGGATTATTAATTTAATCATTATTATTATTATTATTATATTATTATTATTATTTAATATTTTAGCATCCGTTAAAATTGGGAGGGGAGGGGCGAAGGGTGGGAAATTAGAAACGATATTTGAATTTGTTTTTTAAATGAATTTAAAAGAGGGAAAACTTCAAATTTTTATTTAAAATTTTTATTAATTAAATTTATTAATAATAATAATAATAATAATAAGAGTATGGAAGAGTGATTATGAAAATTTACAGTGTTGCCAATATCGTATTTTAAAATGTCGTTTATACTCCTTGAAGCAAACACACACACGCACACTTGAGGCAATATTCATCCTCTTTTTTTTAAAATTAAATCGGGAAGATTTTTTTTTTTTAATAAAAAAAAAATTTTTTCCTTTTACGAAAAAGGAAAAAAAAAGATGTCTCCGAAAGTAAATTAACAAATGCGTGTGCGTGTGTATTCTCTTTAACAAAAAAAAAAAAAAAAAAAAAAAGAAACCAATTGATGAAGTGTTACATGTGTAACGTGTAAACAACAAAACATTTATTCAAACAAAATGCCACGCTTCACCACCTCAGGGTTTCGATTAAGAACCAATTTTAAATCACAGTGGAACTAGAATTGCTTTTTTTTTGTCTTTGTCTTTTTCCTTTCTTCCTTTCTTTTTTTTTTTTTTTATTAAATATTTGTTTAGTGTCTCTCATTCATAAAAGACCAGCATTAAATGATACTGACGACGACGACGACGTCGACGTTGTTGACGATAATAATGATTGTTTTTCTTTTATTATTTATTTGTAATAATTTTACAAGGAAAATTTTCTTTTTTTTTTTTGGATTACGTTTTGTTTTCCAAAAGAATGGTTTGTGGGGGTGGGGTGGGGAGTGGGGAGTGGGTTGGATGTAAAAATGGATGTTGAAAAGGTAAAGGAAAAGAGAGAGAGAGAGAGAGAAAAAAAGCTGCGGTAATTTTTTTCTTTTCGTTTTTTTCGTTTTAAAAAAAAAATGTTTAAAGGTTCGTAACCGTTATTATTATTATTATTATTATTATTATTATTATTATTATTATTTTATTTAAAAACGTTTTATGCTCTGTTGTGTTTTGAATGTTTGAAATTTTTTCTGTCGTACGACAGTAGAAAATAATTAATGTGACAAACGAAAAAAAAAAAATTTTTTTTTTTTCGGTTTCCGCTTTTGGATTTTTTTCCTTTCATTTTTTTTTTTTTTAAATAAATTAATAACGATAATATTATCATTATTATCATTATTATTATTATTATTATTCATAAAAATCCTTAACGATTTCTTCGTAAAAAACGACGTAATATTAATAATAATAATTAAAATAATTAAATTCAAAAAAAAAAAATTTTTTTAACGGATTTGTGTAATCGTTAAAAAAAAAAAATTTTTTTTATTATTCATAAGTTAAACATAGAGTTAGGAAAAAAAATCAATCAATCAAAGGCGTTCGGAAAAATATTTTCCGAACGGTTTATAAAATTAAAAAAAAACCCTCGCGTTGTTGTTTGTTGTCAGTTTTTTATTTTTTATTTTTTACACACAAAAGAACCGCAAAACATTTCTTTTATTTTTTTATTATTGTAAACAAAATGTTGCAATGAAGTTAATTCCACGAAACGTTCAACGAAGCACGTTCGTTTTGATTTTATTCTGACAAAAATAATATTCGGATTAAAAATTGATAAAAATGTAAACAAAAACGAACGCGGACCGTATGGTCTGCACATACGTTAATAAAAAGAAAAATTTTTTTTTTGTAAGGAAGAACTTTAAAATCTTGTTAAGTTAAATCCTATTTAAACCGAACGTTTTATTATCCGAACGGTTTAATCATGCGTACGACACCCGACAAACGTAAAAAATTTTCCTCGTTTCGACTTTTCCTCGTTTTCCCTTTCACATTTAAATCCTGTTTATTATTTAAAAAAAAGGAAAAATCGATTTGTTTTTACTTCCGGGCACAAAAAAAAATTTTCCAATTGTAAATTTATAACATCAAACGGAAACGGAAACTCCATGTTGGATTTTTTTTTTCCCCCGAAAAAAAATTAGTTAAAAGGGTCGAAAGAATGAAAAAAACAAAAATTTTTTAAGAAAACGTTCGCCGGGAATTTTTTTTATTTTTCCTTTTTTTTTTGGGGGAATAGATTATGATAAAAACGAGGGGGAAGATACACGCACACGCACACACAAACACACGCAACATTTGCCTGACAATGACCGAAAGGAAGAGGGTTGTGAATATGTTTACAAAATATCTCGACTCAATTATTATTATTATTATTTAGGGTTATAATCGACGTTAACAAAAAAAAAAAAAATTTATAAAATATTTATATGAATAGCAATGAAAAAAAAAAAAAAAAAAAAAAAAAACGAAAAGAGATGATGTGAAACAACAACAACAACAATAACAATAACAACAACAACTTGGCATAATCCCGTTAGTTTAATTTTTTATTTATAATAATAGGAGGTTACGTCACTAAAATTTCTTTGTTTGTCGCATTTAACCCGAAAAAAATTTTTTTAAATAATTTCCCACCCTCTCCCACTCCTCCCCGATTTTTTAATTGTTTAATATTTTTGTTTATAATTTTTTATTTTTTATAAATTGTTTAAATAATTTTTTTATTTAAAAAAAAAACATTTATTTATTTATTTATTATTATTTAAACGAAAAAATAAATAGGAGGGATTAATTTTGTGATTAATAAAATGTTTTTTTTTTTTTTTAATAAAAAGGGTTGTTGCTGTTGTTGTTCGTACTAGGGTTACCAACATTTAAAAAAAAAAAAATCGGCAACGTTGGTAACGTGACGAAATTTAAACAAAAAAAAGAAATTTTTTTTTCCTCCTCATTTTTTAATAACGCGTAAAAATTCGATTAATTTTTTTTAATTTTTACGATAATAATAATAATAATATTAACACATCATTAAAAACAAAATAATAATGATGATGATGATAATGATGATAATCGTACAAGTGTGTTACATTTAATTAATAATAATGATAATTTTTTCGGTGGAAATAAAAAAATAAAA